CAAGATGCCAGACAGGGTGAACAGGGCAGTCTTTGCACAGCTCATTGCAGTGCTGGGTGCCCAGCACAGCCCCATCTCAAAGTCAACGGAGCCCAGAGACAGTCTGGGTTCACTTTAATTTCATATGTATTTTTTGGCTGTTCTCTAAAACTGCCTAACTTCGTCAGGGAATGGAGCACTCTTGCCTGACACCATATATAAAGAGTATTTATTTAACTAAAACCATCTTATATTTGTAACCAAAGAGGGACTAGAGAGGGACTGTGTGCCAGGGGACTGTGTGTGGCTGTAGCTTTGTTTTGCAGCATATTTCAATGTTCATGGTTTCTCCTGCCCAGTGTTAGGTTTCGTCCACCGGTCACCACACAACTAATACAATGTATGAATTAAGAGATAGAGGCCTTTGTATGTTTTGAACATTTCTCACCCTTCCCAGTCCCAGGCTGGGATTTCCTAGGGTCCTGCTTGGGATCTGGGCACTGAGAGGGCAGTGGGATGGCACTGGGGGGAACACTGGGGACAGCCAGTCCCAAAAGCCTCCAGGGGCAGCCATCCCACCATGGTCCTTGGGGCAGGTTGGGGTGCCAGGACAAGGCAGTGCTGGGCACATTTGGAGAAGAAAGCAGGGAGATCCTGACTTGGGAAGGCAGCAAAGCACAGGGGCTGGAGCCCTCAGCACAGCTGTGCAGCAGAGAGGTGGAGGCTACTTTAAGGGGATTAGGACACCTGACTGCAAGAGGACTATTCCTGCCTGTCCTAAAGTGACCCTAGGATCCTGCATGGATGTCTCTGCTTTGGAGCAGAGGGATGGGTGCTGCACAGCCTGGGATCCTGTGGATGCTGCGTGTGGGGCTGGGCAGCTGCTGCCTCCCACAGTCTCCTGTGGTGACATGGGTCTGACCACATCCCCACTGCTGCTGAAACACAACAGCCCCTGAGTGCTGGGCTCACAGAGACACTGCTGGCATGGCAGGAGAGCCCCAAACCTCCACAGGGGAGGTGGAGGTGCCCGGGTGTGGTGGGAGTGTGGGTGGGAGTCACAGGAGAAACCAAAGTGGTGCAAACTGGCAGAACCCGAGGCAGGGGAGAAAAGCTGGGAGTGAGAGGATGGGGAGGGGAGGGCTGTGAAGAGCGTGTGTGTGGCCAAAACACTTCGGCAGCAGAAAAACCGTTCGTCATGGGAAAAGAGAAACTTGAAGCCTTGAAGCCCCCATAGTCCCCAGCCTCAGTGGCCAGGAGCATCTGCCAGAGACTTTGTGATCCCCAGCCCAAACCACTGAGAGGACATCCAGGAGCTGCAAATCGCGTGGTTG